TTATATATTTTATATAGAAATGAGGAGAAAATTACGTGGATACCTCCTCGCCTGATGTTCATACTAAACGTAACAGTTCTTTTTTTTTTGTACGATTAATTTATTGAAGTACGATCACGATGCCATTTTACAGCTCGAGTTTATAAGAAACAATTACGATAAACAACAATTTATTGAACAACGAATAATCAAAGTGTGGGAAATTTCTTATTATGTAATTTTTTTTCAAAAGGTTTGAAAAATGTAGAAACAAAATTATATAGGTGTATGTATGTATAGAGCGCGAAATTTCTCGTCTAATAACTTTGTTCATTTTTATCTATTTTTATTGTTACATTTGCATCTTGACGCGATATATATATATTGTTATATATTGCGTGACAGATGCTTTTTTCTCGAGAGAACGAAAAGAGCCAAGATTTATATTCATCGAAAAAAGAAAAAAGAAAAAAAAAAAACAAACAAAAAAAATAACTATTATTTTAAACGAGGAGGCCAATGTTGTAGAAGAAGGAAACAAATTGTACATATATAAAAATCAAATACGAGTAATAGTATTACATATCGATTTATCGTGCTAGGGAAAAAGAATTTTCTTTCTTTTTCCTTTCTTTTTTTTTTTTTTTTTTCTCTCCCTCCCCTCTTTTTCTTTCTCTTTTTCTTTTTGTATTAAACCAAACATCACGCGTCGATAGCCAACGCGCTATGATATACGACACCGACTGACGACTAATGTACCTAGGACATATCAGGACGAATCAAATAAATGATATTTAATACAAATCGATGATATAGTTGAATGAGAATATCCTGATCAATTTTTCCAGAACATTTGAATCTTCCGATTGTCAGATCGTTGGTTCTTGTTCAGTATGTATTATGTATATATGTCAGTAAATTCTTGTTTCTTTTTTTTTTAGGTTATATTTTATAATAACAATAACCTCGACACTATTTGACGTTTTTCGCATAAAAATGAAATGTTGAAAGTGATTCATGTTCTCGTATCCTCTTCCATTGTTGAAGATTTATTACTTTTGCATTAAATTATATCGGTGATTTACGTGATATATAAAAAATATATATATATATATATATATATATATATATCACGTAACTATATATGTATATACATATATATAGTTAAAAAATATACTAGAATACGTGGTGTCTCTTAGAAATTGATTTTGCTGAAATCAATATGTCGTTACAAATGTGTCGTGATCAACGAAAGTTGGGACAAATGGTCGATCAAATGAAAATACTTGCCAATAATTTGGACGAGTTACGAGCCGAAATTTCTGCATTGAAGGCGAGCTATTTAACGAAGAAAGACGATCCTTTGCGTAATAATGATTTGAAACAAAATTTAAACAAAAGTAGTAAGACTAATGTTTTAAGTAAATTAAAAAAATATATGAAGAAAGTAAAGAGTATGTATTCATTGAGGAAGGAGCAGAAACGAAGAAATCAAGAGGTATATCACGAAATATTTTGATTTTGATAATTAATTTACGCTACTCAAAGTAATTAGGAAATCGCATCGAAATTTGTTTTTTTTTTTTTTTTTTCTATTATCTTGTGAATCTAACGTTTTAATTAAAAAAA